CCCCCCCCCCGCCATGCAGGCACACGCGTACCTCGGGATGGTACAGCGTCAGGGTGATGTCCAGGTCGGCCACCTCGTCATCAAGCGAGCGGGTGATCCGGTGGTCGGTGAAGCCCTTGCTGCAGTAGCTGCAGGACAGGCACTCGGCATGGAACTTGCGTCCATGCGGGTCACCGGGGAGCATGACACCGGACTGGGTGAAGGGGCCCTTGCAAATGTTGCACGCGTCCTTCAGGTCAACATAGGCCCCGGTGGGGGCGTGCTTGGCCGCCGACTGGGCAGCCACCTGCTCCTTCTGTGCCTGGCTCAGGCTCGGATCCTGGGCCACGGGGATCGACCCGGTGGGGCTCTGCTCGGCGGTGCGAGTGGGGTCCTCGTCCTCGACGGCGGCAATGGCGTCGGCGGCGGCCTGGCGCATGGCGTCGATCTCCGCGCGACGGATCTTGGCGGACTCGAGATTGCGCTCGGAGCGAGCAACCGCCTCACGGGTCTCGGCGTCGCTGTGACAGGCGCAAAGGCAAGCGGACATTAGGACTCGGCACATGGGGGATACGACAAGGCGCAAGGACGGGCGGCGGGAGGCGACACGCACATCGGCAGCTTGGAGGCGGTGCCAGGGGCGAGGATCTTGAAGCAGTCCACGCAATGGGGCTTGTCGCGGACCATGCCGTAGGCGACATCAAGCGAGGCCTGGCCAGGGAGAAGGGGAAAGACGATGACAGAGGATGGGGCATTAGCTCGGGGCAGGGGGGAGAAGAAAGCCACAAGGGGGAAGGAGGGCGGAGGGCCGGGGCCGGGGCCGGGGCCGGGGCCGGGGCCGGGGCCGGCGACAGAAGGAACGAGGCGGCCAAACGAGAGTAGCATGATGGAAGAGCGGGGAAATGACCATGCACACGCACATTGCACTCCTTGCACACGAAGCACTTGATGTGGAAGCGGACCAGGCCGTCCTTGCCGGCATCGGAGGCACGCGCCCCGAGGCCGGGCTTCACCTCGACACCCTCGCCGGTGAGGTCCTGCCCACAACCGGCACAGGAGGGCGGCACATAGCAGGCCAGGTGGAAGCGATCGTCGCCGACCTTCACCCACTGGGGGAGCTCGTTGGCATCACCGAGGGAAGAGTCATCCGAGCCGGGAGACACGTACAGAGGCTGCTTGCAAGCAGCGCAGCTGTGGGTCACGAAGTGGGGGCACGGGCCAACTTGGCGTCAATATCATCTGGCCACTGGGCCGGGGCACAGGATGCGCGCATGGGCAAGCATGACACGAGGGGAGCAACACATACCCCTCCTTGAAGAAGAGGTCCTTGTAGCAGGGGATGCAGTACGGCTTGCCGAGGAAATCACCGTACGGCCCCTCAAGGGCACCGTCAGTGCACTTCTGCTCGCAGTTGAAGCAGTCCTTGTGCACCCACTCGGGGTGGACGTTGGCCATGCGCCGGAGGCCGGCGTCCAGACCGTCGGCACCCTCGGCGTCCAGCAGCGCCGACGAGACGTATGCGTCGGTGTGCTGCTTGGCCAGCTCCATGGAGGCCTGGTTCAGGCGGGTGCCATCATAGGCTGAGGCGGAGGCATGGGCGGTGCGAGTATCACACACGCAGGGGGGGTGGTTAGCCTGCGGCAAGCCGGCTGGCGAAGGGGGGGTCTTCGCCCGTGTGCGTGCGTGCGTGCGTATGTGGGGGAGGGGGAAGGAGAGGGGAAGGAGAGAACATACCGTAGTCCGCGAATTCCGAAGGGACGTTGTGGCTCATAGCGAAATGGAGATGTTGGTCTCGTGGGGGGGAGAGAGAGGGGGGGGAGAGGGATGAGATACACCAAGATGGGTGGGAGATGGGAGAAATAGCAACGAGGCTGTGCCGAGCCCCAGCCAGAGGCCGGGACGGTGACAGAGCGCCCGGACAAAAAGGTCGGTTCCCGGCTGTGAGCGGAAAGCACGGAGCCACGGGAAACGGCGACCAGGGCATCGGCAGGACGAGGCGAGGGGGGG